AGTTGGGGCTGTTCTCAAACACCTGTTGGTATCTTTACTATGTTTCCCAATTTCAAAGGATATTACAATATTGTCAAATGTATTGATAAAGATTATGATGTGATGCTCACTGCTAAATGCAGTGACTGTGTTGATTGTACATTGAACCCTGTACTCATCAGTCCTCTGCTACCTGATATCCTGCCACATCCGGTAGCAGAGCAGTCCACCATCTAGGTTTCCAGGCAGCAATCCAGTACTCTCCAATCTGATAGCCTGCTAAGCCTGGTACCAAATGCTTTAACAAAGAGCACCAGATAGTACACTTTGATCAAAAGTAATAATCATGAATGTCTTAATTTATCTAGAAATATGATTAGTCAACCCCTCATATCTTCTTTGGCTGGGAATCAAATTGACTGAGACCCAGAATTTTGGGGTTTATCAAGTTCATGAATTGTCTTTCACCTATCTTTTGATGAAGTGCAACAACAGTCATTATCACACATTCTATGGGTGTTTGCCATCTAACCTCTAAACCCTAATAAGAAACTGTTGATTTGAAATGCATGCTTCCTTACACTACACCAAATGTAATCTTTACCGGGCGGTAAAGAAAACTACTGACATAGAAAAGTCCTGAGGAAACAGGAAGAGAGCTAAAAATCTGAAAAAATATGCACCTTGTTCCTAGATCTTGGGGCGTCATGATGAGTATTTTTTTGTATTTTACACACAGATATTGGTTTATGTACTAACAATAAACGCTGAAAATCATCAAAAACTCACATGTAACAATACCTGAAATTTGGGTCATGAGTATGAAGGCAATATTTTGTGGTCTAAAAACTTCAATAACTTTTGCAATTCTGCTCCAAATAACTCGATTTCTGGTTCATTCAAAAGCTGAACTATTCTCCTTCACACTTCATAATGCTAGTAAGGTGCTATCTAGTCATTTAAACACTCTACATATGTTCAAACAGTTCTGCATGAATAGCTCTGTAGGAACTTTTTTAGACCAGCTACAGATGTGATGTCTCAATGAAAAATGTAGAGGAAAGGCTCACCTTTTTAATGCACTTCAAATCGAGTGATTTGATTCAGAACCGCAAAAGTTATTGATGTTTGAAGATTCCAAAATCCTGTCTTCAAAGTCAAGGGCCAAATTTCAGGTATTGTTACAGGTGGGTTTTTGATGATTCTCAGCCTTTATTGTTAGTACATTAACCAATATTGGTGTGTAAAATACAAAAAAATACTCGTCATGACGCCCCAACATCTAGGAACAAGGTGCATATTTTTTCAGATTTTTAGCTCTCTTCCTGTTGCCTCAGGACTTTTCTATGTCAGTAGTTTTCTTTACCGCCCGGTAAAGATGACATTTTGTGTAGTGTTACTTCTGATCATCATAGCTCAACATGACATACTCAATGTCTCAAATGAGCCTATATTTTTGAGAATTCATTTTGTATTAGTTCTATTAAACACTGAATAGCTACACTATCAATCAGGAAAGGCATAGAGTCAACACAGGAAAGACACCCCAATTCACTAGAACAAATAAATATGAATACATATATACAAATAAATATGAATACAGATATTTCATAGATATAACACACTAAGCCTTCACAAAACCAATCACTCAATGCCTGTGGTTCATGAACATGCCAATTCATACACACTTTTTGATTGTAAGTCTTATATCATATTTGAGACAGATCAAATGTGGGTCATGTTGTGGCACTGAAAGTCAAAAGGTAGACTCTGACTTCTCTGGAAATTCTACATCTTTACTTTACAAAGACCAGGCCCTGACTGGAAAAAGTAAGACTTCTTGGTCATTGTGGCCGGTTAACAACTCTATCATGGCTCAAATCAATGGCCATATTTGTGTCATGCTAGCAGGTGTTTGGTCGCATAACTTGATAGCCAGTGTGTGGCATGAGCAAAGGAAGTTATCAACAAAATAAGCAAGCACAGGGATTCCCAATTTCACAATTTTTTGGGTAATATATTAGTTTTTCTCCATCAAAAACAAAACCAAGAGTCTAGGTTTGAAAGAAGTTGAAATCTACTTAGACATTGAGTAACACTAATGTCACTGGTGCATTTCATAAATCTTCAGTCTTACCCTAGGTTAAGAGCCTTGGATCATTACTACTCTCAACAAAGGTGTTGGTTCAATGTACCTACCTCCAGTCACCAATGAAAGCCTGTTGTTTTATATTCATACTACAAATACACAATTGAATTATATTGCTACAATACCTAACAGATTTTGAACTGCTCTGATACAAACTAAGAAAATGAGAAAAAGCCCCTGGTAATTTATTGATGCTCAACTCAAAAGGAGACCACCAATTGTTTTCAGCCTATAGCTTCAATTATACTCCATCAATCTACTGATTCCATGGAGTCCATGGAATTAGAAGATGTGAACACTTGCCACTATCTGGGTCTAGAATAGCTACCAAATCAGGTTTAGTTTTGCAATTGGATCACAGTTGAGTACAAAAGCCAGTGTCATCTGCATTGTGTATGGTTCAAGCATACAGCACACAACTTTGTATCTTAAAACTGTCAATGGTTATTCCTAGCTTTGTAATTCTGATTCCTCAGTGAGGACTCCACTGTATTGTTCTGCATACCCTAAGTAGCCACACTTACATTCTGGTTGTAAGCATCACTGCTGTCATGTTGTCATAGACAAGTATCCCTGTATTTGTATTTTCTCATGAGTGATTCTACAATAACAAACAAAATAGAGTTTTTTTTAGGTATGCATACCCGCTTCAAGTAAAAACTAAGTAGTTGTTTATTAAAGAATTAATCTCAAAGTATCTAAAATTCTGAGCCAAATTGATAATTGATGTACTCTGATACTGAAACCATTAGGGGTTAGGGGTTAGGATTAGGGGGTCAGGCTTAGGGCAAGGATATTATCACCCCACTCCAAAAGTGTGGCATTACGTCTGTTCACAAGCACCATCATTTCTTCCAACCCTTGATCCCACCACACTTGGGGATCACAAGGAGAATGGCCTCCACAACCCAGCCCACCCCTTCCCCTTGGCTTACTGCCAGCAGTAACAATTGAACATACCTTCCTCAAATGGTCTTACTTGTAATAGGATTGGGCTTTCATTGTGTTACTCATAATATTTACAGTGATCTTGTTTGTATTATGAAAGAAATTCAACAAATTGCCCTTAAAAAAGCTTTCCTTCTTAGTTGATGTCTGTTCCTGAATAACCTTCAGAATTCTTTGTGAAACATTTTAAGATAGGCCCTTCTTATGAGCGCGGCGCCCGCCGCTCAATTTGGCTAGTTAGATATCAATATCAGGCAATTGAGGTGTGAGCTATTGTTCTTTCAATATTTTGTTTTAACATGACAATTTTTACTGGGTGGAGATGCTCATGGTATAACTTTCTATTGTAAGCCTTCTGATTAGCTAAAAGATAAAATTCAGTTCATAATCAATAGATTTTGATTAGCAAACTTTGAAGAATTTAGTAAAAATCTCAACTCCAACTTCTCTGCAAGAAAGATTGTAGGATACAAACAAAGATTCAAGAAAATCAAAATAGCGAACAATTTGCATTGGGAAAATCACCTTCAAAACCTTGCATATATTTGACAAACACCCGAGATCAATTCAATTTCTTCTCAGATAACTCTCGTGGACTTTCTTTCTTGAAAAAAAAAACCTTCTGCATACATTGGAGAAACAACCAAAATCAATCCAATTTCTTCTGAGATAAGTCTTGTGGAATTTCTTTCTTTGAAAAATCACCAACAGCATCCTTGAGTGAATGTAATTCAACTTGAGCTGTATGACTTTGACAAAACCCTGTGAGTTTCAAAACCCCAGTCCTGAACACCTCTGGTGTTCTACTAAATTGTGACCACGGATTGCAATACAATTTGATTTGAGATTCATGGTCCTAGTAATGTTTCTGATAAGACCATAAAAATGGGAATATCGTTGTGTTGAGGGAGGGGTGAAGTGGAATGAGTAGCATTAGATGCCATACAGATCAAAATGATATCAGTAAATCACAAGTTTTTCCACAGTTTAATTCAAGGTCTTTCAAGGAAACCAACTGGTAGTATAGTAAAAATGAGCTTATGTTTGATTACAAAAAATCTAACCAGAGGTTGAGTGAGTATTACACCATCTCCATGTACTTAAACGTTTCCGAGCCTTTTCAACCAGAGCAATGTCTCATTTTCCAGTATAATTACCTCATCAAGATTTTGGTCTGTTTGTGGATTCTGATTATTCGATAAAAACATTTTCTAGATTTAGAAAGGTTATGCTCCAAAGAACTTTTGATCATTCAACTAACTTGAGTCATCGAAATTGAAAAAACAGCTGATTGTTCAACTGAAAGTCTTCAATGACAAAATGTAGCTTCTTCGGTATGATAAATAGCTACTTGGTGTGAGATTTTGTAAGCTGATCAAGATGAGGGGTTGAAGATGAAGGATTACTATCTTCTGTAGTACAGGATTTCTTGATTACAAAAGACTTTGAAGAGCTAATCAAATTCTAGTTTTGAGATGTTGAGAATTGATCGACAGATGTACAGACCTATTCAAGACTCATCATGAAATACAATAGTTACTGATTTCTTTGATGTTATTGTGATAAAGGGATCCAATAACATGTTTTTCTATATTTACTCTTTCTACTACCAAGTCAAACTTTTGATATCTATATTCACTCATGGCTTGTTCATCAATCACATTCAAGGTTGATTTGTTGACCAATCCAAGATCAGATCCTTTGAGTCTAATTTGATCTACTGCATCTGATGCTTGGTGAACAATTTCTCAAAATCAATTAACTTTAAAAAGTTTTCAAAGAAAGACCCCGTTTGATTAGCTCCTCTCAGAGCCACTTTATATGTTGGCTGAAAGGCACAACTCACCTAATCTTCTCCTGGTACCAATACATAATCACCACCGTACTAATATTCTTGGCTGTCCTCTTTCAAAAAGAAAGTAACTCAACACAAGTTGTGAAAACAGATCGAAGAAAATCCAGCAGCAGCACAAAAGTTAGCAAACTCAATGATACCAGAATGAATAAAGATTCCAGGATGAGGTTGATGAATGACCTTGCGATCAGTTGAACCTTCAAGATCAGAGTTGATGCAAATTACTTTGGATGTAATGTCCTCTTTTGACATCCTGTCTAAGACCATGTTGATGGCTTTACTGAATTGCACACAACAGGCATCCATTTCCTTAGTATTGCCAATATATAGGTATGGCGAGGTAGATGAGGACAACAATTGGAGGATTGTAGCCACATTATCACTGTATTCCCAATCCTTCAGGTCTTTAAAGGCAGTAGCAGCTGATTGATGAGTAATCGAGACAAGTGCAATGGTTCAACGAGTCAAACATACATTATTAATGTCAATGAGCAATGTGATGTTGAGATTTCGAGCCTCAGCAAGTCTGGCTGCTTTGGCGTCATTGCCCCCTTCCTGCAAACCATCTGGACCAAGACATAATACGGTCCTGTGTTGGTTGGCGAGGGCGATAATGGTTGACAAGAGGCCCTGAAAGTCCAAATGATTGAAATATAGATTGAGTGCACAGTTGCTACAAAGACTGGCAAGTTTGAAATTTATCACATGAAATCACTCACACATGTGGCCCAATCAACCGCTACTGAACTTGACACCACAAATGGTTAGCACATGTGATAGATCCTTGGGTGTAAGAGGTAATGACAAAGCTGGAATAAATTGCTTGATGGTATCAGACCTGAACAAGACTGTGTGGCTTTGAAACCCTCGTAATTGGGATCGTAAAGATCTGGACGTATGATTCCAAATGCGCCAGAGAAAATAGAACATGGCATATCAAGATGAAACTCGACGGAATAAGCTTGCAACTTCTTCTATAACACCATGAGGTGATATATCCAATAAGTTGATAGTCTTACGACCCTCCAAGATGGGAGAAGCGCCTATCAAGACCTGCATGGCTATAGTAGGTGATTGGTTGTAGTTTTGACTGAGAGCAGAAGTGATCAGGTTAAAAGATCCATCTCGACCAGATGGGTTGATAATTCCGGAAGAGGTGATAAGAGAAACATTGGCCAGTGAATTGAGAGATGGGTAAGAGCTTTGAGAGCCATCATTTTTCCCCTCAACATTCACCTCCTCATATTTCACATCTAGCTAGATGACCGAGAAGTTTCACCTGAGCCTGCAGTAGTACATAGGCCCTGGAGCAGGAGGTCTCTATGAAGGGCAGAGAGAAGTTATTGAGTGGCGACTTGGTGACCTGCTTCATCAAAAACAATGTGATTGAGTTTCTTTGAATCAGCATCAATTTCACTGACACAGGATCAGAAGGGCCTGTGATTTGAAAATTACAAAGGTGGCTTAATTAGTCAAGGTAAAATCTGGTAAAATATTGTAACAAGTCAGAAAGTCATCGGAATTCAGAGCCGATCAAGCAAAAGGCGTACATGATCGGATTGAGTCATAAGAAGGAAAACCACAACGGATACAGTTGAAGATGATGTAAAAGAATTTCTGAATTTTGAGGGATGAGACTTACCCAGTATGACCACTAACACCTCTTGCAACACCAGTACTAACTACAGTAGCAGTGAAGAATACAATAGTCTCTAAGAATAGAGACATTGTTGAGTAACTTTAGTTAGTTCATGGGTAAGTTCAGGTTGAGAAGGTCAAGAGTGACTTTGTTGAAATGCTCAATGAATGGGATTGGGAATGCGGTATAGATTAGATACTTGCAATAATTTTGTAAACTTGGTTGATAATTTCAATTTGACCATTGAGATCCAATTGATCAAACTTCAAGTGTAGATATAGGATCGATTCAAATTCACAGTAGTCCAATTATCATCAAGCCATATGAATTAATGCGATCCATCCTAGGATTCCAATCTGTCTCCTACTTTGGATCTATGTGCTCTCGAATGTGGAATTGGATTATCATGTCTTGAAAGTGATTTGTTCAAAGTTGGCCATGGTGATCTAGACACAAATTGTAAACAAAGATGACATTGATATCAACACACACATCAAATGAATACTTTTTTGTTTGAGATTGAAGAACGGAGGCTGCTTACTTTCATGATCCGTATGGATACTTCTTAGACGTAGTCATTATTCAAATTGTTCACTGGATCTAAGCCACTCAAGAAAGAAGAAATCCACAAACCAAACAATTTAAAATCACTCAAAGAGTCCCATGATGTATGTGAAAAATCCGACTTGAAACGTATGTCTGCTTAGATGCGAGGATAGGAATTTCGATCAGTCCAGGTATTTTGGTATGGGATGGGTTGTGTGATTATGGGAAATGAATATCCATATGCTACATTCAGATGATGTGGAACAATGAATAGCGCTCACAGCATTGATGTTTCCGAGTGGTTTTGAGGCAAGGAGTAGCAACGCGGCGGGTAAATGATGGTGAATGCAAATGGATTCACAAAGGTAGGTTTCTACCCAAGACAAAACTGGAAAATCACACTAATGGTGAATTCTGTCCAGTTTTGTTAGTGAACCGTCTCCAGGATTGAATGTTATGATTGTGACCATTGCTTTCCAACAATTACCCCAATTCCATACAAGGTCAAAGTGTTGCCCACCCAACCCACGTTCCGGATTTCAGGCTGGGGAATCACTCGTAAAGGGTCAGCTTTCTGTAGTGTTTCTTTATATCCCTTCGGTCAGGGCTTTGGCTTCTGCTCCTGTGTCCAGCATATCTGTCGCTTGCATAATGGTCTCCAGCATAACAATCATCATGCTTCCAGTCATCACGCCTTCTACCATCGTCATGGCGTCCTTTGTAACCGTTCCCTTTTCCCTTTTTCCCGTTTCCCTTATAGCTACTGATATATGCGTGGCGATTTTCAGTTGGGGCTGTTGTGTATGTCGAGTTTGAAGTCAAATTAGATTTTGATTTATTTGTTAAGGGGAAAATATGAGCTTTCGGCTTTCCTGGTGCATAGGGATTGGTTTTATAATGTCTTTTGTTATAGCTCTTGGCGGTTGTCTTAGCTTCTACTAATAATGTTTCTTGTAATTCCGCGTGATTTCCTATAGATTTATCCACGGTTTTGCGCATAACCCCGTGACAAACCAACCTACAGTATCTCAAGGCCACCATCCAGCCAAAGTCTTTCCTTAACTTCTTCACCACTGCGACATGGCCTTCAAATTGTTTGGCAATTGGTTCCCAACCGCATGCTACCAAATGAGAACAGAAGAGCTCCATACAGTCGCCCCAAACTTTGAAATCTATTGTAAGTTCTTCTACAGGAGCATCTCCCCTGTATATCCGAGCTTCACCTGATTCTTTCTTATCTGATTTTGTAGCTCTAGATGACCACACTTTTTGATCCTTAATCAACCATTCTTTGTCAAACACAGTGAGTTGGATGTACGAGGTGAGTCCTTCAAGGATGATAGTTAAACCTGGAGACAATGGCGCTAACAATTCTGTCATTTGTGCATTTCCACTTCTCAAAATTTGTCCGTTATGAACTACGTTGCTGTTCTTCATCTCAAGCGTCCCTTTCTTAGAGTTCATGATTGCATGGGCGTTATCGGACTCTTCTTTGGACAACACTCCTTCAAACCAGGTTGATGAATTTGACAACTCAACGTCCTTTTTGATTGAGACTGGAGGTTGGAGGACTACGGGATCTGCCTGAGCTTCAACTGGTTGACTTTGGGCTGGTTGCTGAACGATTCTTCTTTCTGGGATGACTTCCCGTACAAATGCTACAGAAGTTTTGCTAGATTTGTTCAAGTGAGTATTGTCCTCGTCCATAATGTAAGGATTGTGTTGTTTAGGTTGATTTTGGCCTTTGTTCAACACCTTCAGTAAAGCAGTAGCCTCCGCATTGTCTCCTCTGTGGTAAGCCTCTTGGATGAGAACTCCCAGTGCTTCTCTTTGGGGATCTGTTTCCCAAAAAAACCCACTGTGAACGGAATCCAAAGTATGTCAGTACAATGTTTCGATTTCCTTTTGGGGACGACTAATACGGTAGTTTGAATTTGAACACCAATTGTAAGCCGGGTCAGGCTGGATCTCTATTTTGAGCAGGGCCAGGCTAATGGACACCAACTGTAATCCGGGCCAGGCATTAAACCCTCCCACGTATCCGTATCGTTCCTACTTCAAATCAAAATAAAACAAACAAGGGGGTAATTTCTTTTTGTAATCTTCACTTGTCTTGCCTCATATATTGGCTGACATTGTGTTGACTTTACGTGTGGATTTCTTTTCCCAGCCTCCTATTTGGTGCGTTGATCGCACGCTGTCTGCCTCTTCACCACTTCCACCTCCTCCTTCTTCCTCCTCACTGTTCCTTTCCATTCTTCTTCATTTTGATTTTCTTGATGTTCTTCTATTTGATCTTCTTGAATCTCGTTCTGACGAGTCTCCTTAGATTTTCTTCCTTCTCTCGTTTTCCTCAAGCCTTTTGGTCTTTCTATACGTTTCTTCTTAAGGTTTGTTGGAGTCCTGTGCGATGCATTGCTCCTTGGTCTGCTGCCTCCATTTGTCCCTCTTTTAGGCATTATTAGGCGATTTCCGAGTCTGACTCCAGTAGCGGCTGCTTGTGCCCGAGTTAAAACCGTGTCTAAGTTTCCTTCAGTTTGATTTATTTGACCAAGAAATGACATCTTCTTCTTTATTTACTTTGTTCCTTGACTTAGTTGATCCGGTATTCTATAATTTGAATTTATTAACTTTGACTAGCAAATTAGGCGGCGGGCGCCGCCATTTCATGTTCTGAGCTTACTGGGGGTTTCAATTTTCAATGGCATGGAAAGCTATGGAAATTTCTCAATTTGAGCAATAATGGATGCTAACTCAAAGGCAAGGATTTGGTTTGCTGATCTTATACACTCCCACAAGCCTAAGTCTCAAGATATGAAGTTTTTGAGATTTGGGTTGAGTACATCATTAAAATTGAAAGTGCTTGTGAAGCTTTTAGAGGAGGGAACCCAGGTTGGGCTCAATAGGGTTCATATAACAGCTCAAAATCACAATGATCTCCTGTTATCCTTGTGACCTGGGCAAATTTTTGAATGTAGCTTCATGATCACAGTGCAATAGAATTCTCTCAAGATTGCAACAGGGGATTAGCTGCATGTACACTTCCAACAAAATTGTGTCGCATCTCGGCATACGCGCTCACATAGCAAGGTGAGATGCGATTTCGTATCGCGTATGTGACAGGCGATGAAAGTCCCGTGCGATGTGAAATCGCGCAGGTTTCAAGCGATTGGACCTGTCAAATCACATACATGTGTGTGATTCTACCCAGATGCGATTTAGGATCGCGTCTACTCAACGCGACTTGACGATGACGCGATCCTTAATCGCCTCAACTCAATCCGACTCAACCGCTCAAGCGATTCAGGCTCGCGGCACCTCAATGCGACTGAACACCTCACGCGATTCAATCCACTGAATCACTTGAATATCATGCGAAAGGATCTTCTCATCGCTCAACCTCAATGTGATTTAAGGTCACGTTCTTTCCTGCGACTCAACACCGCCATTTCTTGTCGCCTCTTCTCGTCCGATCCAATCCCGCTCTCCTCAATCATCTCATCCTGGCACTCCTGATACCGAAAAAATAGGATCTACTTTGGAATCAATATGATGCTCCAAAGTCTTATTTTGCTCTGATAGACATCATTAGTTACAAAAACCAATCGTCCCATCCAAGAAAGTAGAGTTACCAATGCCTATAACGTCAACAAAAAACAATTAAAGAATGAAATTTACAAAGAAATAAACATGGCCAGAGAACAGTTTCATGCCGATGGTTTTGAAAAATTATCTGATGAGTTGAGCTGAGTGTTTTGTAATAACCAGCCATTTTCAAAAAAAGAATCAGCCCTCTAATTCAGTCAATAAGCTTTGCATGCGCGGAATATGACCGTTCACTGCCTCGTAAAAAGTTAGCGCAAGGCAGGTTTGATGAGATGTTTTTTTGCGGCGAAATCCTATGTATGCGCATCATTTAGCTGGCACGACGGTGGATCATGTGACAGTCTTAAGGTATATGAGATGTTGATGCACTCTATTGAAGATCTTTTCAATAGAGTGCATCAACTACTTGAAGGGAAAAAGGGTCAATTATAAGTGGTAGCTTATGATGGTGTTTGAAGGTGGAAGTTGAAGCGCTTCACAAATTGAGAGTTGTCCCATAGAAACTCTGAACTTTACTCCTCTGACTGCACGTGGAAAACTTTGACCATGAAATTGTAAGGGGTGTCAAGTCCAATGTTTTACGGTTTTTCCGTAAAGAAACTTTCTCCGTAAAAAACTTTCCCGTTGTAGCATACATGTAAAATTCACAACACGGATTTAAAGACCTCACCTTGACCATTTCACTATTGGAAAAAGGTGGCCTTGATAGTGGATGCAAGAGTTGTTTTGTTGGACTGTTAAAGCAGGGGTATGTTATTTCAAACAAAATAGCCAATATTCTCATAGACTAACTGGAACATTTTAAATCAAGAGAAACGCATAATCTATTTCTCAAGCTTCCACCTATACTTCATATACACACTTTATGATTCACACCACCACTTGAACCATTACATCAAGATCCAAAGCCACCCGTCCCTTAAGGCGTATGAGTGTA